TGCTTGTGAGCCTCTCACTGCACTTACTCAATTCCATTCTATTTTTCCTTGTCACTTCTTCAGATGTACCTTCAAGAAGAGGAACAGAAAGATATGAGCTACTACTTTGCAAGAGAAGAGCAGTACAAAGATGCCAAAACTGGTTATATGCAGCATAGATCAGTTCCAGAGAGACAAGCATGGCGTTCAGACAGCACTACACAAAAGTTAATCCACCCTGAAGAGATAAATTGCTTTCTAGCATAAGTAGAGTGGAAATGCACCCATGCTTCGTGGTTTGAGTCCGTGAGGAACCATATGCATGATTAGGAAACTCTTGGCAACCACTTATGGACTCCAATTTCTTCTATTGCTCTTGAAATATATGACAGAGGAACTCAGGTCAAGAGGCACAATCCATGTATATGCCTCACATATATGTATGTATATACATACACCCACATAATATGTACTTCCTATCAGAGAGACCAGCTGGTACTCAAACATTCAGCATATGAGGAGAATTTTGTTCTGCGGCTTTGTAGTCCCATCTATGATTTACTGAAGCCAGAGGGACACCACAGAACACTATACTCAATTAGTCCTGTATTTACCCCAGAGGACTACATGTAACTGTAAGCCAAACATAACACTTCCAGAACAGCTTTCAGCCCTGGGAACATTTTGGGTGGCATCCACCACTTTCATTTGTCATTTATTTGTTCCAGTGCTTACGTTCTCTCACCGTTACAAATGCATGTATTATTTCCAATTGCCTGATTTCAGCTCCCAGCCATCAGTTCTGGATTACAACTGTTCCTGTTAGCCTTTTAGCCTCCAGCATGCTCTCCCTCAGAAGGTGTTTCCACCTAGTTATCAAGTCACCCCATTTATCTATCAAGAAACAACAGATCCAGCAACAGAATGAGTTTTTCAGTCTCTCCTTGTGGTATCTGAACACCATCCAGCCTTCAGATATCCCCTCTGACTCTTTTCTGAACTCACTCCCATTTTCAGCAGGCTGCTCATGACCCCAGAATCATCTACAATTCACCTTCTTTTGCCCATTGCCCCTCCTACTTATACACCCAAACTTATACACCTTTGCTGACCTACAAGAGGACAGTCATGTCCAGTTTTTTACTCACTGTACCCCAAGTAGTCTTCTCCCCAAGCTCCTATTCTGTCACTATGTTGAAGTACAACACCTGCAGATGCCATGATCTTGCATTAGACTATATTAAAATGCAATTTTCATTGATGCAGCTCACCAGGACATCCAGATTACTCTGTACAAGCTGCCTTGTCCTTGCTTACCACACTGCCTAGTGTGATATGCCCTGCCAGTTGTATCAATACAGATCCTGTCCTTGTCTGTACTTGATGAAAAGGTTCAACACAATCTGGCCTCACCTCAATCCTTAAAACAGATTTCTAGGAGCATTCTCATTTGATAATGATTCACCACCAATGACTAACTTTTAAACATCAGTTTGTTCTTAACTCATTTACTTTTGCAATACCACATAGCGCTAACGTGTCAGAGCAGGAGTCCCAACGGGGTATGTCAAAGACCTAACTGACTACCTCTGCTGTTGCTGAGAAAGGGAACTATAGACAGCACTTGGAAGGAGCCAGGGAGTAGTAGGGGACTGCAAGGGTTGGACTGTCTCCCTGCCCCTGCATGAGATGCCTTTTGAAGGCACAGCTTTACTACACCTCATGCAGATCCATCTCTCGAGTATAACTTGAGTTTCCACCTTTGCTAAGACATTTCCCTTGAAGTGACAGTCAGATATTAGTCTGTCTAATATTTTATCAATCGAATATTACATTAACTTTTCCAATATTTTGATGAGGATTAATGTCAAGCTAGCTGGAGTATGGTTAAATCTGTCACCCACTCTTCCCTTATCTACTCTAGCACAGTTAATTTTAAGACCCTCAATACCAACGGTTATTAAAAATTGTCTGCAAGCTTGCAGACTTTTCGGCAAGCTCTTTAAAACAATCACAGTGCTGCTGATTTACATATGTCTATCTCTAGAAGGTAATAAATCTTTATTCATTAAGATGGATTTAATTCTGTTGGAATAGCATTCATTTTGCACTTTCCCAAATATGGAACAGTATTAACAAATATTTCTACTTTTCTCGCATAAGCTACTTTTATCTCCATCTAGTAACTGGAATTATTTCTTTCCCAACACACCTGAGCTGTAGAAAATATGCAGAGTTAGTTCTCTAACTTACTTCCTAACTTCTAATGTGCAATAATCCTCAAGTATCCATTGTCCCCTTAATTACCATATTTTGCTTTGAAATTTCTAAACGTGTCCTGAAGCCAGAAGGCTGTTAGTGTAGTTGCTGTCATTTTTCTTTAAACCAGATTCTCAGCTTTTGGACTACTTAGTATGTTCTTACAGATATCTCTGTTTTCCATTCACATTTTCCTCTCTACAATAACATCAAGTTCTCCGTGATAACAAATACGCTCTTTTGAAGCATTAAGTATACTTTCTTTTGGGGCTGCCCTGTAAGTAATTGGGTCACACTCGATGGTCCCAACTTCCAGCTGTGTGATACCAAAGTCCACAGTAGCTGTCTCAGCCAGACAGCTGAAACAAGAGCTGACCTGCAATGGGCTGAATTTCCAAGGCACTGAACACCTCCCCATGATGCCAACAGGATGTTCAGCACCACAGAAGCAACAAAACAAAACAGTGCATAAAGGGAAACAAACCTGTATCTTTGCCAATTAGCCATTTCAGACACCTCAAAAAGCATTTTTTAAAAAAAATCTATATTTATTTCTCATATTCTTTGACTGTAAGGGCAAAGCGTTTACCAAGTTACCAATTTGGTGAGTCATCCAGACTGGACAATAAACACATTCAGGCTTACCCTTACTCATGTTAACAGCTTCTGCACACTACCAGCCATCTGCTGCTAGTTTGATGAACAATGCAAAATGAACTGACCTCAGTCCTATCCTAATCTGGCACTACCACACAAACTGCAGTGCTCCTCAGCAGCCTCAGCAGAGAAGGAAAGCAGTGCAAAACACACGCACTCCGAGCATAGCTACAACAGTCCTTATCTGCCTAAGGTGGATGCATCAGCACTCTACCCGGATTTGCACATGCAGTCAACTGAACTTTAGTACAGAATCAGTCCTTAGCTTCTAGGACCAAGTCTTACACGTAGCAATAAAACTTAATATATTCAGCAAGAAACCCACAACATTTGGTTTTGTAATTGTCACAGCAGTAGGAAAAACTTTCAGAACCTTCCAGTTTCACAACTTTATTTAAATATATATGCTAACTATTCATACACACTGATCCTGGAAGTGTGGTAGTAGCAGTCTACTGATGTAATTCTACTGTTCAGCATACATGATGGACTCTTCCACACAATCAGGAGCCCCACACGGCTCCTGAAGCACATACTTGCATGTATTTAGAGTAGAAATTTCTTATGATGTTTAGAAAAAGTCTAAATTCAGTAGCTGAAACAGAAATAACCTGGGTTCTTACTGGATATCAGCCACTACAACTTATTTTGCACAACTGAAAATGACTAAGGAGGAACACATACAGTAGTTCAGTCATTCCTCCTCTTAACAAAACAGCAAAATGTAAAGTGAAGAAGGGGAAAAAGACTGTAGCAGTACATTAAAAAACAAAATGGAGAGCCCTACACATATCTTCTGACACAAATTCCCCCTAATTAGTCTGCATAGACAGTTTAGTCTTAAGTGTACACTCCCTGTGCTGGATTCCTCTGTCCCCTCCTCTCAGGCTTGAAGTAAACTTAACTATGTAGGTTGACAAAAGCCTCAGATACTAAAACATTCAGACTTTTTCTACTATCCAGATTTTGCCAAAGTTCCCTGCTTCAGGCACATATCTAAAGAAGCTTTGTATGGGATGGGAAGAATCTCAAGTTTGGGCTTGGAGTCCAAGATTTGCTGAGAGGGCTTGTATTCCTCTAACTTCCTTCACCCTCCTCCCCATCAGCCTAGAAAGTCTCACAAGAAATCAGCAGCTCTACCCACCTAAGTACATTCCATTCACTAGAAAAGATCAAATATATGACCTAGAAGTTTCTACTGAAACTCTCAGTCATCACACAGTTAATGACAGCTTCAAGATGCCATAACAGTGTTTTTTAAGTCTATCAAAAAGCCTAAAGTCAATTCACGTTCCTCTCAATTTCTGTTTAAGGTTAGCAGAGTCTGAAGGAGTTGCATGCACATTAAATTCAAATGAAAATACAGTAACTTTAAAATACAAGTGCTACTTCTGACTAGTAATACACCTGCATCCACATAAACCCTCCTAAATCCTTAAGAACAGCCTTCCTATATAGATTTTGAGGCTCTGTCTGCATAATGCACTTTGCGTTACTAAAGAGACAAAACCCATACAAATTAAAAAATTTATTGAATAAACAGCTAGAGACCCTCTTCAGATGCTCTTTTCCAGAATCAGAGAGGGTAGGGCAGTTGAAGCAATTAACTTTAAATTCACACCTTCCGCTGACTCAAACAATTTCTCAACTGCATGTGAAGACAAGCCCTTAACTCCAGAACCACACACAGGATTTACTTAGGAGTAACTGTCCAAAATATCTCCCTTGGGAGACAGGCCCAGACAACACAACACATGGGGATGCTGGTTCAACACCAAACCACTAAGAAGAATGCAAGAAACCACACAATCAGAAAACCTTGAAATCTGGTAAATAAATTCATGACCATCTATTTGCCAGGTTTGTTTTAGAGAAGCATTTCCAACAGGCACCCAAGCCTTGGTTTGAAAAGCCTCTTATTCTGACACAATTTTCCAAGACTGCTCTCCATTCCCTCCTTCCCTGTTCCATCCCTACCCTTTCTCTGCAAGCTGCATCCCCCAGCTGCTCTTTCCCAAACCCTAAGCCTGATGCCCCAACAGCTGATACACTGGGCACAATCTAATACAAAATGTGACAGCCCCTTGTAAGATTTCAAGCATCACCTGAATACAACACAAAGCAGCCTGGAATAGGAATTGCAGGTTCAGATCCAGCAGAGAAGTGCCTTGATTTCGGATGTTCCCTCCCCCACAGCTAGGCTCTTTGTTTTTTCCTGGGGATACATTTTCAGATCAGAGCCAGGGCCTACTGCAGATATAGATCAGCTTTGCTCATCCCACAGTTTTGTCACTGACAAAAAATAGCTGTAGAGAGCGAGGAGGAGATTTTCAGCTGTTTTCTTCCCCAGTCCTCTCTAGCCACTTCCTCTGCCTTTGTCCTCTCCCTTCAGCTTTTATACCTTGCAATAAGGGAGAAGCCATTTTCTCATGTTCATGGCTTAATGTCAGTTAACTGTTTTCTTTCTCTATGGAGCCAGTAAATCCTCCAGCAGCACCCTCAATGACATGTTCACCAGGCTTTTAACGAAGAGCTGAAAGAAGCTGGCATCTTGTTTCCTTACTGAAGGCAGCCCAGAGAAGCAGCCACAGCCAAATGGGAGTGGTTCGGATAGATGCTTCTACTAGGTACCACTCATACTCTACAGGACTGAAGGGACACTTTCTTAGACAGGATAAAAATTAGATGGTTTTAAGACAGCTGGAAAGCATGTAATAAACTATTCTTCAGTTTTCTCATAAACAGTAACTTTATTCTCCCTGAAACACTGATCGACATTTGATCCTGTTATGAACAATTCTGAGGCCTCCCCCACAAAGCATCTAAGCTGCATCACATTAAAGCTGTTCCTTTCTCCTTGCCTCTAGCATATTCTGAACATGTAAACAACTCTGCTGTGCACACAAGCAAAGGCACGGCTAGCTAGTGAAAGCTGCAGCACTAAGGGCACCATAGGAACCCATCATTTTCACAGGGCACCGTATTTATTAACAAGCAGCCAACTGCTATTAATGCAAATGTACACGTAAAAAATGATCCCATTAGAAAAGCTGAAAGAATATTAAGAGTATTACTTTTCATGGATAGTTACGTTTCACAGGCATTGCTACCCCCATAACCCAAACATAAAAGAGAAGTCAGACTGAATGATGGAGGAATTGTGACAAGACTAGGAGAAAGGCAAGTGTCAGAAAATCCAAGCAGGCTTACTGTCTGAGGATATCTCAGTTGATGTGACACCACATGACAAGTAATGTTCTTGGGGCCAAGCCTGAAAACCTATAGGGACTATTTCCAGTTCAGCTTTAAAAAAAAAAAAAAAAAAGGAAAAAATCTCACTTCTCACCTATTCAGCAGGGAAGTAATTAGCAGGAGATACACTGTTACAAAAGTTACCGAAGTTTAATGCAAAACCATTGCCTAGCCACTATTTTGTGTATGTTAACTCTTGCTTTACAGGCTCTGGATGAAGCGAAGCATACAAGGCAAGATGCCTTGGTGAGCCCTGCTCTCTGGGGTAAGTTTCAACAGACAGATGCACCCATTCTGCCACAGAATCCCCTTACAGCACCATTGCTCAACCCACAAAATCTCTCTGCAGGAAAGTCTGCAAGTCGGAAAAACTAAGGTTTGGAGGAAACAGGTCATCTCTGACCCCTATCTCATCCGTCCTGAGGTTCTTCAGTGATCCCACAGGAAAAGCAAATGTAACTGCAACTACTTCTGTTTAAGGTCTTCTCTGTATTAGGTGGTTTCCAACAGCAGGAATCCAGAGTGAAGCAGCTCTGGAGTTGTGCCCTGGATACAGCTGCACTGCCAGGCTCAAACACCAGGACCCAGAGCACACCAGGGTGCCTTGGGACATTTCCTTCTGACCAGTGCAGTTGCACAGTGTTTTGCCTCTTAGGTTAAAACAGAGCCCAGCGATTTCTCACTGTCCTCCTGTCCACACCTACTCTACAAACGGGAGCAAATCAGTCATGTCCCAACACCCACTAGCTTCCTTTGGCTTACTTCACATATTCAAAAATGTCACTCTGAATTCCAGACCCTGCTTCTTCCTTCCATGATGCTAGTCACACATATCCTTCTCCCCTCCCACTTCTTGTCAAATTCCACTGCCCATACTGCCAACCAGAGCAAGTTTTATCTACTTGAAGCCATGAAATCATCAACTTCTTCCCAGCACCCCTCAATAGCAAATTGCTTTCCTGTCCTCCTCTCTCTACAACCCAGCAGGTAAACACCCAACCCTGTCCTGCTCATGACATTTACCCAAGAAGGTTTCACTGGAGTAAAACAAGCATTCAAGGTTTAGTTTTATAAGTAAAATCGCATATCTTTCCCTGCAGCTAAAATTTCTTCATCATCCTCACATTTCCCGCTTTCAATCCTTTTAGCACAAATTAAAGAGAAAAAAGCCTTCCCCTTCCATATTTTCTGCCAAGGCAAATGGTTGTTTTATTATAAAAGACAAACAGACTCTTTTCACAAAACTAACTGGATTCTAACTCCAATGCTATCCTTGCAAAGCAGTCCTGCACACTCTATTTTTCCAGTCTAAAAACCTTACTCGTAGTAACTCTGCACCACACGACAACTGTTATTTATGCAGAATTTATACAGCAGTGCAACTAAATCTTAACTTCTGACTAGGGTAAATTAAAGTTCACGGTTAAAGTAGGCCAAAGTGTATTGCTATCTGCAAGCTGGAAAATTTAGACAACTCTTCACAGACTCAGGCCTTGAAAAGTGCAAGGTTCAGCTGCTGCACCCTATGTATCTGACAAAATGCAATGTCACAAACACCAACACCAGAAGGTTGTAGCTACATCTCAGTGACAAATACCTGACAGCCATCTCCTTTTTGGAGAAGTCATAATTTAACGACTAAGGGGACCATTGAACTGAAAATGTGAAGCACTTCAGGTTTAAATTACTAATGATAACAACAGCTCAAGTTAAAATTATTACATGTTTTCATTCACCTTTCATGCTAATAAATAAAAATAAGGTCAGAGAGTGGCTTTTTGCACACTGTTAGCAAACAAATGCCCTGACTTATATTCACCATGCATTGAACATTCAAGATTCGCAACCAAAAATGCCTAGGACTGCACATGGTTTTAATTAATAAAAAGACAAAACCCAGCTTATTACCTCTTCCAGGATCGGAGCCACAAGACCTACCTTGTATCAAAGATCTGCTGCAGACAGGAGGACTCAAAGGGTATCAGTTTACATCTTAAAGGATTCCAAAAGCTTGCTAAAGCTTCCATGCCTTTCATGATTGATCCCCTGTCTTTGGCCTACTGCAGCTGAAAAACTCCGCAGAGATTACTTATGCTAGTTTAACTGAACGCAAAGGGCCAGTTTTGAGTCATCCCTTCAGGGTGACAGCGTTCTCTACTTTTACCACTATCCCAGCATATAAAGACAAAAAGGTACCACGGACCTAGGGTTTCCTGTTAGACACTCAGCTCAAACACAAACCTGTAGAAATAAAAGGCCTTGACTGACAAATGCCTACTGAGGAAAAGCAAATGAACCTCTATGCAAGAGCCTACAAACACTGAAAAACTGAAATACCTTTACCCATGAAGCACCTAGCACACCAGTGCAACTCAAAAAGATTATGAAGCAAGTATAATTAACCCTAACACAGAGCAAAATAACGGGAACATTTGGCTCTTTCATAGTGCTGTAACCTCATCAAAATGCTCGAACCAAAATTGACATTTATATCTCTATAAATAACATGTAAAGGAAAGCAAAGAAAAAGCAACATTTGCACTTCAGGGAAAGACATCAAAACAAACATGTCCATAGTACTTAAATGCTAAACTACATGTGGGAATCTGATGATCTTTTGAATGGCTGAAAGCTGGGACACAGGAAAAGGCTTCTTGGTTTAAAATTAATTATTAATCAGTCTTTTCAACCATCAAACCCCTGCAATGACTCATCCACTTTCTTTACCAAAGTCTAAATTGTTATGAGAAGACTGCAATTCCACTGGAACATTACCCTCCTGAGTGCAATACTTAACCCTGCATATGAGAAAGGATTTAGTAGGTTCATTCCTCTCTCCCACAAAAAGATCATGTTCTCATTGAACCTGGAAAGAAAAATTACAAAAAACCCCATAATGCAAAACAGTATTTAGAATTTTCACATTGAGAGAAACAAGAGAAGATAAAGTCCATGTCAGTTTTTCATAGCAAAGCCATTATTCTTCTGGTGACAGTATGCACTGCAAGCAATAAGAGAATTAACATCATCAGAAATCCTCAATAATCATGTCATTAAACAATCCAATTCTTTTACACTCACAGACAGTTCCAACAGTTCCTACTGTCTGTAATGGAATTTAGTTTTATGGAAGTATGTCTTGAAAGGAGTTGGTTTTTAAACTTACAAATTAAGAACTTGATCCCATACCCCACGACTATGTAAACCTTTTTTTCAGAGTTAACAGCTCTACTAAATAAACTAAGCTGCAAGACTGGAGCTCAGTTGGCGATCCTATGTACAGAGCTTGCTCTTTTCCTGCGCTAAAATTATATCAGAACATTACAACACATTTGCATATCTCCCACACATGCAACTTTTTGCCAGCAGTAACAAGACGACATCAAGGCTTGGAAAACGTACCAGAGATAGAACGAGAGGGTGGAGTTTCCTGCAGGAACACCCAGACTGAAGTCCAGCAGCTCCCAGGGAAGGTGCTGCCTTTCTACTAGCCCGATGCCTTCCTATCAGGCTGCCACTTATCAGTGTCAAATGTGAAACTCCACCCAGGAAGCGAAAAGCTTCCTATTGTTTCTCCCCTCTTCACAGCCTCCTGACTACTATCAGGAAGAGTGGTATCACTCCACCCTTTTTCCATGGGAATGGTTTCCATTTTTCCCCTTTACTATGTTCAGCCTTGGAGCTACAGTGGAATAGGAGGAACAGGAAAAAAATCTGCCGGGTTCTCTCTACCCTAGTCTCATATGGTTTTCCTGGGAATATTTCTAGTGGCAGCCCACACTGCTGCCATTGATTTTAATCATGAAGAAGTAACATGAAATTCACATGGCTCTTGTCAGCTTTTCAGCCACAAAAATTTTGCAAAAACATCGATTAAAACAATCAGACCTTCCACCTTTAACATAGCAAAGCTATAAAAAAAAAATTACAGGTAGCAGATCTCTTGAGAGTTTGATTTACATATCGGTATACAGATATTTTTAGAAAAGCTTTTAGTTAAAAAATAAAAATGACAACAG